TGTTATGCATATAGCCCTTGAAGTAATTTGTGTTATAAGCAGAGCCGTATGTTAATAACTTATTCCAGGTGCAGACTTCATCAAAATATTTGTCGATTAAAGGTTAAAAAAAATATGTGGAGGTATATTGGTAAATAGAGCTCGTAATTATATGTACAGAGACAGAGATCATTGTAGATTCCTTTAATAATTTAAAACGATCTTTTATTTTAGCATTTTTAAATTATCCGATCGATAATAATGAAGAGGATAAAAAAATTGCTCAACTATCATTTAACTAAAATCAGTTATGCAAAAACTGTTGTCATGGCAACAATTGTAATGGCAATGAGTAAACAGAAAACAAAATCCCAGGTTAAGCAATGTATAGTTGTCCAGTAATAGATTATTTCACTTTAGTTAGCTAAAAACAGTTATGAAGAAACTATTGCTCTGAGAATGCTTGCTGCGGTAATGACTAAATCGAAATCCATATCTCACGGAGGAGAAATGCGTAGTTTTCAAGTTAGAGATGAGTTAGTTTTCATTTTAGTTTAGCTAAAATCGGTTAAATAGTAACTGTTGTCATGAGAACGGTTATCATGATAACTACCATACAAAAATACGCTCCTGAACGACGTTTCTAAATCCGCGCGCGTGGTTATCATGACAACAGTTTCTATGTAAGTAATTTTGGCAAAACAGAATAAACATGTACTAAATACTTGGAAAAACTACTTCAGGTACCGACTTCATTGTTTATTAATCTGAAAGATGTTACTCAAGCCCAGAAAGGGACCAGTTTATGTTTCTAGTTGAATTTTGTTTATAAAGCTATCAGAATTTAAGTGACAAATAATATTTTTTTACACATTGTGAAAATGTAACGGAAAAATCCATCTCGTTTGACAGTAGAACAGTAAATAAACTATTTCCCGGAATTGGAATTTATTGGTGATCTCAACCATATCATTTTCCAATTGTCAGAAACCACTGCTGATCGTATAAGCCTATACCTTTTAAAATTGTATATATAAGAAGGTAAAGAAGTAAATTATCACATCTCCAACTAGCCATTCATAAAAGTGTATTTGTTGTGAAGTTCTCATCATCATCATCTATTGTATAGTCCAGGAGACAGTGACGATTTTCGGTATTTATTTTCCCAGTCAGCAAGCACGAATAGAGAATTGTAGGATTAGCAATTCTAAGCAAAATTCATATATATTTAGAGGGGGGATCCGATGGGCTGAGGCCGAAAATGCATCAAAACATACGAGAACACGGCCCTTTTTTTCCATTGATAAAAATAGTTTTAGAAGTAAGAGATGTACTGAAGTTAAGTAAAAAAATAGTCTGATTATTCTGTATGGATAATATATTTGGCAAGTGCATAAAATACACTTTCAAACGAGTTATGTACACAATTATTTCTACGACCACAATTATTTAAAGAATGTTCCAGGTGTTTTGTATATTAAAATGTACGCATAGGACACATAAATAAAATCTTATATCACAATGTTTCACCTAACCAGTTGGTTTATTTATAGAAATTAAACATAATAATTGAAGATATTACAGAAGAAAATAGGGAAATAAATTACATTTCCTTTTACACTTTTATATTATAATTGTTTTATTTAGAATTCACGAATCACTTATTACTCTACATTAATTATAATTATTGTTAGTTTCGTTATGTCAAATCATTTATACTAGAGGTGTGAGGAAAATACAGTGAACTGTGGAACGCCAATGTCGTTGGATGCGCGTGGTAGAAATGGTCCCATAATACTGCTAAAAACATAGCTAAATTTTCATGGAACCACTGTACTTTTGACATATGCGATACTCCGATGCATATGCATTATTGATGTAATCTCATGATTTTACAGTAATATTTTTTGCAATTTTAGTGTGATTTTTAGGTTATTATGGTTATTCATTTTATTTGGTTCTGATCTTTTGCGCTTTTAGAGTATTTGTCTTTTATATAGTTTTTACTTTGAATTTTAATATTGTGATCTATTTATATTTGATTACTGCTTTTCGACTAGTGCTTTATTCTTTTTGTGTTAATATAAGCTTTATAACCATTAAGTACATGCTTCTAGTTGATATCTACCTAATCGTCATCGGGTGCTTGCAACAATGGGAAAAAGTGTATGGTTTTTTTGGTGTAAAGTTAGACGCCTTCATTTTTCAGGTAAGTTATTTGTAGTTATTTTTTACTTAAAAAGATAGCAATACGTCCTGGTTCGGGGTGTGACTTTTGGGTTTTAGCTATTTGAGCCAAATTGTCGGCTAAGTGTCCTCTTTTAGGGTACCCAGAACCGAAAACTATATAGGTATATAATATGTTTTTTTTTTTAATTATTTTTTAATATGTATGCAGCTTGGATGAGGGTTTTAGGAAGAGATCCTAAGACTGAACACTGACTGCTATAAATGCCGTTTTTAGAGCACATTTTATAGTAAGTGATTTCATTCTAGCAGCAATGAGGAAACGTTTAAAAAACATGACCAGCTATTACTTTAAGACCTCGTCTCTTTAAGTTATTATTACTTCATTCTAATGCATATATTAAAATGGTTTTTAACTTATGTCCTTATGATTAAAAGATGTAGGTATTTTAGTTATGTTATAATAGAAATATATGATACTTTGTATTGACTGACCTACTGGCCACTGGTCATTTCACTTTAACTCCCTTTTTTCATAAATTATCAAATTATTTAAAAACAAATACATACCTAGCTATTTTCTGTAAATTACATTAAAATTTTAGTATTAATACTTTACTAATAAAACTTCAGTTAATTTGTCTTATATATATATACACAACGGAAGAGTTGATTGGATTTTCTGCTTGTTGAGTTTCAAAAATAGTAATTTAACATGATTTAAAAACAAATACATGAAATGGGCAAAATAGGCCTGCAAAGGCACTTTGTAAACAATCTCACTTGTATCGATGTGACGTAATGCGCGAATTTAATCTGGCTTACTTTTGTTAATAGATTGACGTTCTATTTTAAATATACAGTTCACCGGGAATAGATTATTTAAATATACACGGACCGGGAAAACAAGTACGAAAAAATTCACTGGCTGCTGGACTAGTACTGTATCGAAGGAATTTTTATGAATGAAACAATATACGACCCTCCACAATTGCGGTTTACTCTACTTCCGCTGTTGTCAGACATTATTTTTTTTTTGGACAATTTGAAGACCTAACAGTAATTCAAGCAAACGCAATAACATTACTACAGTTAAAAACATCGCAAACTTGGCATCAATATTTTAATTTTATCCAAATATTGCATTTCTGTCGAGGATCATCCGCGTTGACTTCAGAAATTGTGTAATCTGTATTGGTTATATATATATCTATAGTTAAAAGCACGTAAACTTGGCATCAATGTTCAATCCGATTATTGAGTTTCTACCGCGGACACCACCGTTCATTCTTCAAAAATTTTGTAAATAATCCTATCTGTCTTGGTTATATATCTATGTAAATTATACTCAAAAAACAAATGTGCCATATTTAAGTTACTACGAAACTTAATATATGTCGTTTTTATGTATAAATGGATTTAAAGTGACAAACGTCAAAGTTCTGAACATATGAAACAGTTGCCTATATATTATTGTAATTCTAGTATTATAAATTATTATTTTGACACATGTATATACAGTGCACAATAGTGTAGAATATGGTGTAATTTACTGTAGAATATGGTGTTATATAGTTTTACAATTTCGGCTAGTTTGCCTCAACGGTAGCCGCTATAATGAAATATTATCTTGACATTACGAATATTATCTTTGAGTTGATGTATACTGTATATTATTAATCTATCGTGGGTAGGCAAAGGAGTGTAAGTCAAAAATTTAGAAACTGAGAAAATCTATGTTATATATCTAAGTCAACTTATACTGATTTTCCCACAAAAAAAAAGGTATTTTTGTAATTTATATTATGAAGTGAGTTCAATAGCGACCCTAATAAAAAGTTGTGATTCATCCCACGATTTACACTAAGAATAGATGACTGAAATTAATTTACCAAAAATCTAGTTTCATTAACTTTAAAACACATCAATCTGCAAAATTTATATTTGATGTATCATTTTAGCGTAAATATTTGCAATTGAGTGTGGTTTGCTGATTCCAGACCTGTTAGTTATGTTATGAATTACGAGCTCTGGTTATAAGGTACCCAGACATTATCCCGAGTAATAATCGGCATTGGAAGTGTTGTGTCAATGGCCTTTAATTTTTATAATATATTTTTCTTCTCAATATTCTCCTCCTCGTAACACCACTGCCTAAAACCAGACTCACACGAATAGATTCCACTAAAAAATCCCATAATAACGAAAGAGAATTCACGTTTGGGTTGCGCCGGCTGGACACCTGATGTTGCCAAAATTAATTGTAAGAGGATTGGAGCTCCAACCAGGGATTTCTGTAAGAGGGCTTGTACCGCAAAAAAATGTGAGTAGAAGTATACGAGCACAAAACACCAGTACTAGAGCGCGTTTTCTTGATCATACCTGTCAAATGTTTTTAATCATTTTGAACCCTGTTTTCCACTTACAGGATAGAAGCACTTAATTCTGCACACTATCTACTTTGAATCAATTGTTATAGACGTTTAAGAAAAATTGTAGATAATCCCATTTTTATGTCACTTGTTTTATGCACTGTTAACAAAAAATTGAATTTTCAACTAGCAAAATACACATAATTTGTCGTATGAAAACTAGGTATCAATTCCATTTCTTGGTAAATGTTTGGGCAGGAATCTCAGGAGACTACTTATTGGTCTAGTCTTTATATCCTACAGAATTAATGCTCCAAGAAATTTGAATTTCCTGGAACATGATTTACAAATACTGTTGAAAGCTGTTCCATTGTCAGAGAGACCCGCTTGGAATATTCAACACTTTCTTATGATACTCTGTATATTAATAACTGTGGTTGTGGACAGACCAGTGCATTTTTCTACATAACAACAAATATGAGTAAAAGTTCATCGAATCCAAAATTTTATTGTTTACATTTCTCAGCACATAATCGATAAAAAATAATAGCTATCTAATGTAAATTAGTTGTTTATTCAAATCATTCATTAACGAATCTGGTAAAACCGAGAACATAAACGAGTTACAGTCTCCAATTCGAACATCAATATATTAATATTCAACGTTTCCAAGATCTGCCTGGCTGGTTTTACCACTTAAAGAATAAACAAGATAAAAATATTAACAAAATATAAAAGAATAACACCGTGGAATCTAGTTTGGTTCTGGCGATAGGGTGTACGGTTCATCAAGTTTACAAGATGTTTATAAAGTTTGCGTATTATATTGTTCCGCTTTATCTGTTTCTATGCCAAGTTGAAGGACGTAAGTACAATAATACATTTTCATCTATTTTTTTATTCGTCTATTTAATTAGTTATTCTAGGCAAATTATCTAAAACAAAGGAAATGTCTATAACTCGGATTGTTTTTGAACGATTCGTTGCATGTAAAGCATCTAAATAATATCAGAACATAAAATAATTACAACAATAGGTCTGTAGTTGTTTTATTATCTCATACATTTACACTAGACTGGGTCGAAATAGGCATATTTTAAAAAATTTAAAATTAAATTTACAATACCTACCAAAACTTGCGTTTTGCTGTGCGTACTTTTCGTAATTTTTTTAAAATTTCTAAATCCACATTTTCAGCCCACTCCCGCCCCATTTAGGGGTAAAAAGTTAAAGTTTGAAATTTTGACGTACAATACCCACTGAAAGTTACATTTTAGATTCTAATCACACTCTCTATCTTTAATATTTTTAAATAACACCTTCAGTCCTCTACTACCTTTTTTAACGCTTGCTTAATCATTTTTTCTTTAAAAGATAAGGTAAAAATTACACGATTAAAACTAAACAACACATTTATTTAAAAAATGGTAAAAACTACCTAAAAAAAAAAGAAAACATAAAAAGCTAACAAATCAAACATAAAAGCTTACAAATTAAATATAAAAAGCTGACACATCAATTACAAAAAAATAATAATCAAAACATTTACTAAATTTTAAACTATCGTTTATTTTCTAATAAAGCCGTGCGATTCTGGACCAATTACTAAAGAATATGACTCTGTAACTAATTTTACGCATCTCTCCACGGTTTGAGTATGGCAAGGGAACTTCGGAAAATCAACGTCTGGAAATTCGGTTTCGTTTTTAAGGTCTTTAAGATTATCATCAGTAAAATTTCTTAAAATAGGAGACGGTGTCACATCGCCCTCATTTTAGTAAATTAACTCAAAGTAGTTTGTAATTAATTTTTGGTACCACAAAGTTTCTCGACTGGTTTCTCCAGCTTTTAAGATTCTTCATGAGTGCCTGTTAGCATATACAAAAGAATGTTTTTTGGGTGTATAAAATACGCGTATCTTTGGATTATCTTATCCACAATACTTTCTGAATCATCTCTTAAATGCCGTGACAGTTCAATCGTTTTAAATACATGAAAACTACCGTTGGTGAAAATGAAATTTAGTTTAATATTAAACCACATTGGGACATACACTTTAATTATGAATTCGATTATATGCGTAAGGCTTGATGTTGGCTTTTCAGTTACAGCCCAAAGCCGAAGAACACGATTTGCCATTGTGAGCCATCTAGAGTGCGCTAATTTTCCAGGATTGCGGTGTGCTAAATTTGATGAGAAATTGCCGCTTGATATTGAATTGTAATTGTCATATAAATATGATTGTACAGACCTTAAATCTCTAGACATTACAGTTATATTTGGCAACTCACATTTTATTGGGATAAAATTACAATTTTAAGATGTTCACATTTTTCTAAAGAATTTCACCAGAATATTGACAAAGTCCCACTGCCATCTAAATATTGGAATAAATGTCTTAATTGCATGTTGTTGGCATGTAGTTGACAAATATACCATTGTAAAGAACGTTTCAATTCAGTCTCAATATACCTAATAACATCATTTTTATTACCGGTCTTAACAACTATACCATCGCAACCCACAGTGGTCAAATCATCTAGTTTCAAATTGTTTTTAGCAAAAAAGTCAAATTTTGCTATTCCAATTGACTTTGCCTCCCTGTGTTCTTCTACAACAGTTTTCTTGTATAATCTACCGTTTTTCTTCTCTTGCAGTAAAGTTTTGTCTTTTCTTCCATCAAAATACAAACTTCTTTTTCTTCTGTTATCACTTTCAAACTCCTTCCTTGCGGTATTTTCAGATATATTTCGCCTTCTACTCACTTTAGTTTTGTTAACTGTTTTCAACGGATCTTCTAGGGTAATTATTCCTACATCATTTAATACTGCACTAGCAATCGCAGTAGCTGATAGATCAGATATACCATATTTTACGCATACAAGACCTAACGTAGGTAACTTTGTTCTCATTTGAGTGTTTTTTGAGGTAGAGGGTAAGTTTTGATTGATAAAGTCGTCATTTGAAGAGGGTTGATATTTTGAGGGATCAGATTCTGACCCTGACAATAATGTAGTAGTTTGAGAGGAACAGCTGGGTCTTAATAAATTGCAAAATTCTGATACATATTTTTTTAGTCTTTCGATTTTTCTGGATTACCTTTTTTTATTCGATAACATTTTCTTTGTTTCTTTACGATCTACATTTCCTATGTTAATTTTTCTGACTGATCTTTCATCAGAAAGAAAATTTTGATCCTTAGTAAGTACTTTTCGGATCTTTTCATAAATGTATGCAGAAAAATCAGATTAACAAACAGCTATGCCAAGTAAATTTTTATGACACTCTTTACCTTTTCGTCATATCTGTTGTTTCGCTTGATTCTGGGATATCTCATTAAATTCTTATATTTTTCATAATACTTCCGTATTAACTGCACAATTTTGTCTTTTAAAACAGTTGGAATTAATACATACCTCTTTCCAAATGATTTTAATTTTAGGCACAAGTTCATTGCAAACTTCTAAAAAACTTGGTCCTTTTTCACTATATTTTTGATATTTTAGTTCAAGAAGTCTTTATAATGAAACGCAGCTTTTAAATGCCATAGCAAATTAAAATTTTTTCAGCACATCCTAATTTACACCCTGATTGTAATTTTTTAGTCAGACTGACCACATTTTCTATTATGGATAGCAGCAATCTTTGTTTAACTCGTCTGCTAATCTATCTCATATCTCTTCTTCTTTTCCTTAAAATATCGCTCCGGATATCAGCATAGCAAATAGCAATCTATGAATAATTCTTTCCTATGTGAATGCACCAAACATTATTCCATTCCTTTTTTTCTAAACAAAAAAAAAAACAGTTCAAGTAAACTTTCCCAATCAAAGTTTTTCAGAAATAACATGAGTGATAACCTGTTTGGAACCAATGAGATATATAGAAAGGCTATCAAGGTTAAACTTTATAATTAAAACAAGAAATTATGTCTAATGCTACTGTGATTATTTTTGAATTTGTACAAAGATATGGATGATCTAACCTCATTAAGCCTAATCTTTCAGTTTTTGGTCGAAATTATCTAGTGAAATCTGCTAATGGATTTTGTATCTCCATTTCGTACATAAGACACAGTATCAGTCTTAGTACACCTTTTTGAGATACACCAGCCTCCATTTTCTGTAGCGCAAAGGATTCTTCACTAATAATAATGTTATATAATATTCTTTAGATTAATTTTTTGCAGAATTGCATATTGAGTGCGTAACCCCAAACAACGAAACTGCTACCTGTGAAGCAGTCCATGAGTGTAAAGTATTCATCAACAGTATCAAAAATGGCGAACAAACTGAAAGCCAAAAGAAATTTATGAAAAAATCGTTATGTGGATTCATTCAGTCGACACCAGTGGTTTGTTGCGGTAGCAAAAGTGATTACAACGAAGCACATAGGCCCAAAAGAGCGGCAGATTTCAAGTTGAATCCTGCCCTTCCCGATGATTCCGTATGTGGCATTTCCGTAAGTATATTTTTTACTATTAAGGGTATAAACTTGATAACTCGTGAAACATTTTACTGTAATAATAGACGATTTTGGAATGTTTATGTTCCTGAGTTGAACTGAGTTGAACTGATGGCCTACCTACTAGGTGCAACTACATGAATTTGACACTAGGGTAGAATATAAAGGAAGACAACGTCGTTGAAAGAGGTAGATAGAGCTGTTATCTCGGCTGCCGTATAAGAAAGAGCGAGACTCCCAACTTAATTAAGTGGAGATGGCGTTTACGAATACGCTTGTTAGGAATATAACAAGGCTCATACTAGTACAAAACCTGTTTTACGTTGTCATACTACAAAATAAATAGCTGAAAATCGGCAGTAAACATAATGGTTCCAATTAGAAAAATATATTAAACTAATATCCGACAATAAAAATGCATATTAAAGCCGTTTGTTAAATAAATTCCGAATTATAACTACAAACAATCCATGTACATATACTCTCTAGTAATAATCTGACAACTATATGATTAATAACGTGAATGCTTGCAATTTGCCTTTTGTAAGGAAAATTGGACTAATAGTTGTTTGTCGTTAGGTTCAATAGTAGGTACCTGGTAGTGTATGGCACTGCACTGTGTGAGACTCCTAAGTAAAAGATGTAGGCATTGTAGGCCCAGTTTACCTACTAAAACCACCCATTTTGCACGTGTGTTAGAGACTGCTACCGCCAATTTCCTATTTAAAAATTTAGGGGTTGCAACTGTCAGTCGAAGGGGGTTGAAAGTAAAGGTAAAATTTTCACGTTGCAGGATATCATTTTATAATCTAAAATTGACGTGTTTCGGAATTTTTGTAAATAAGCACAGTAATTGAGCTACTGAATTTATTCCATTTGGCTGTTCCACATTCTATGTTAAGATCTTGTATGTCTCTAATATTATAACTCATAAATTATTATGTTTATAATATTTAGAATTATTTTTGTAATGTACAATATCTTAGTAAATAAAACATAAATGTATTAATCACACTTGATATTTTAGATAAAGGATTCTTCAGTAAAAGGACCTACAACAGCAGGAAGAGGAGAATTTCCTTGGTCAGCTAGACTTCAGTACAACAATAGTAATATTGTATATGCATGTGAGGGTGTGCTTATTAATTCTAGATATATTTTAACTGCGGGATTATGTTTGGATGAAGCAACCTTTAAACGTATGGGAAATCTGTAAGTTAAAACACTTTCATTAAATTAATAAAGACATTATTTTCTTTAGTTCTTATTTCACTTATGTTTCATATGGACAGGGGTTAATTTAAAGTAGGTTAAGAGGACTTAAGCCAAGGTGCAAACTTTATGGCTACCTGCTCAGAAGATGAAGAAGTGCAAAAAATGTCTTTTCTGAAATAAGGTCGATCCTGCTTATGTGCTAATGCATCAGCAAACAGAATCTAACTATTTAAGAAAAGTTAATAATTAAATGTTGTGTGTTTTAGATACAAAATTAGACTTGGGGAATTCAACTGTCCAGAATCAGAGAAAGACTGTAAAAAAGAGCCGCTAGATGTGGGAATTACAGAAATCATTCGCAATCCGAATTACGGCTTTAATGGTAGATTAAACCATGACGATATTGGTCTTGTACGATTGGAAAAGGACGTCGAATTTTCTGGTAAGCATGTAGGTTTTCTTATCTAGAGTATATATATTTAGAAGAAACATATTTAACACAAATTTTGAATTTTCTTAAAGGGTGATATTTGAATACTTTGAATATTTCTACGTAATAAGGAATTAAAGTAATTGTTTTTCAATACTTGAAATGAACATTTTCAAAATCAAATTTAAATCAATACGGATCCATATTCAACTAATATGGCAGTTCAAGGTTACATGTGGTATTAAAAAAACTGTAATATTTTTTTATTTTTTGATAAATGGGAGTTTTAAACAGAACTCCTCTGCAATGGATCATAATTTAAAAGTATGTGGGAGTATATTTTGGTGTGTGGTGTATCAGTCATCTGTAAAATGCCTAATTGTTAGTGTTAGGTTGGCAATACGACATGCTAATAGTCTATTGGCAATGAACGAAAAATTATTATCAGTATATAATAACAATACTTGGTGACAGCGGTAAAGTCACTAAATATGGCCGAGGATTTAGGGACCATTTAGAAAAAAACAAGAAACCAAACATAAATAAATACCGTGAAAACTAACCAAGGGGATAAATTTTCTCATAAACATCAAGTTTCGTTGATGAATGTGTCGATTACTAGCAAGTTTGATTTTAGGTCATACTGGCCGAATGACCCTATATAGTGAAGAAATTTTTTCAAAAGGTACCTTATTGTAAGATAGAAAAAGATAACATAATGTTGTACGTTATGGCAGAAGAAACCAAAAAAGTTTTGAGACAATTAAGAAGCGTTTGATAGTTATTTTGTGCGAAAAAGAAACATTGTATTTTAAGGGAGATCGATCGATTAGTGGCAAGGATGGCAGATTTCCAAACTAGGGAATAGTTATAACTTCAACCTAATTTAAATTTGGCAGAAGCGGTTGTTGCCACAAGACAAGCTGAATTGCAAGGTCATTGGAATGCATTTTTAAGCCACGCGGCCGGAAACGTGCAACAAGAAATCCAGGTAGTGGCAAAGACTGCAACTACTTGAAAGAATGGAAGAAATAGCAAATATGGCATGGCATCCAAAGTAAGCTTTTTTCCTGAGAGAATTTTACGAAAGAGACAAATGTCCAGCATTGAAGTCAAAATGTTTAGAATACGGGAAGTTAAGATATTGGAGAATGGTATGAAAAACTGGATCAAGGGATATAAAAGAGAAAATAAACGATAGTGAGCAAATTAAAAAAAAGTGACAGGGAAATACAGTGAAACATAAAGACAGTGATAGAAGAATTTCAGTACTAAAAATGTAAAGGTGTCTGATACCACATCTTTATGGCAACGACTAGTACAGGAAGTTGAAAAGCCTTTAAAATGAAAAATAGGTATTAAATTGTATCAGTCAACTGTAAATATGATAAATTTCTAGTAATAGGATGGCAACACGGCATATTGATAGTTGACTTGCGATGGATAAATAAAACGTTAAATGGTTGCTCCTGGAGTTCTATCTAAAATTTTTATCTAACTACAATACAGAGTGCAGCGACTATCGGTTTTTAGGCAAAAATAAGGAAAGATTTCCTCCATGGTAGATTTTAACTTGACAAGTGTTTGTAGTAAGAAGCATCAACACTATCAGTACCACTTCGATCTGCTGAGCCTGGTGTGGCGAGGGGATGTTACCCTGCGTTTGAATTCCAGAAATCCGCATCGACTGTCTTCTAGGCAAACCTTGATGACGATTTAGTATATAGCTGTGAAGTTATGAAAAATCATTATGAAATCGAATTGCGTAGTAAGTAGTAAGTGCGATATAATATGATAAATCAGGGAAGTTATCAAATGTCCCTCGTTGATATTCAATTTTAAAAAAGGGAAGAAATTACACCTAATTATTTAAAAGTATGAAGTTAAACTAATATTCGATGTTTGTAAGTAAAAAATAATAGACTAAGGCAGACATTTCAAAGAAGGGTAAAAAAAGAAAAGAGCATGAAGTAGAAGAATTCAAGTTAAGCTTATAAAATGAAGGGCCAAACAAATATTTTAGTTTAAATGTTAAAAGACAGTGTTCATGATTTTAACCCAGAAAATTAATGTTTTATAAACTAATAAAATTAAATACATGATGAAAGATTGGTAAATTGATGTGAAATTTATAAGATTGAGCTATAGGTACGGAAAGAAAAGAAAAATTTAGGTATCTTTGATTTGAAATAAAAATCAATTAAATTCATTATAAAACCTTTTGTGCGTTGATGCACTAAATGTGATAAGAAAAGATAGAAGGAATATTGCTATGAGTAAGTATCTTTGAATTTGTTAATGTAAGAACAGCATTCTCGTATGCGAGTTTCAATTGTTCTGCAACATTAAACCAGACAGGTGGAATTACAAGAAGTTCAGCAGCCAAACGACCGCGTAAGGCGAACGAAATGCATCTCTTTACGTTTGAATCTTATGTAATTATATTATGCACATTTGGAAACGAGCTACCGAGCCAGAGATCGCGACAGCACTTTTAACACCAGTTTCGAAGCAGTGTTTGCTGCCTTTAAGCTAGCATTTCGCCAGCTGAGGCAGAGACTGACTTCAAAACGCGCCGCGACAGCAAGATACTACGCTTCGCACATTTGGGAAACAAGGAGACAGGTAACGAGACACCTGAAGACCACAATTCGAGGGAACGATCAGTATTGCGAGACCTACTGTTTATCGCTTAAACTAAAAAAAAAAAATAAGAATATTCAATAAAAATCAATAATGAAATAAAGGCAGGCAACAGTATTTACGGGAAAATGTATGAGAAGTTGCCTAAGTCTAATAAGTTTTCTTTAAAGAAATAACTTATTCTGTCAAAATAAAAAATATCTTTAAATAATTAGCGTAAAGTTAAAATGTATAAACAGAAGGATTGTTATTTGTATTTTTAATTTTGTTCAAAAGAAAACATAGAATGAATGATTAAAACTGGTTTTCTATCAGTAAGTCATAAAATTGCAATCCAGCCATATACAATATACAAAGGCAGAAATCTAATTCTTGATGCATAAACATTTAAGATTAAAGGGATATTGAAGAACATCGTGACGTGATATTTATTGTTTATTTAAAACCTTTCAAGTTTCTGATGTCTACTATTTCCAGTATTACTGTTATTATTACAAAAATAAAGGTAATTGTTCTTCTAATTGTACACATATCCATTTATTTCTTTGATTTAATTTCCACTTTGCTACTTAAATTTTTTATAATTTACACTGTTTTTTGCTAGTATTTTAACAATTGTCAACAGAGCAACTCTGGTTGCTTATTGTATTATTTTTACTTACTTTTTATGAAAAAAAAAAAAAAGTAAAATGTATACATGTATTTAATATGCTAAAATTACAAATATCGCCCTAAAATGCACGAATTATCCGCAGCTAGTGCTAGTATCGCTTTTGCTTCCCCTACCATGACTTCGCACTAACGCCCGTATACACCGTACAAGTTTAATCAAGATCAAGGGTTTAATCGCGTTTAGTACCATTTTTAGCTATGGTACTAAACGCGATTAAACCCTTGATCTGGATTAAACGTGTACGGTGCATACGGGCGTAAGCGAATAAAATATCGACTAATCACCTTGAAATACAAACGTTGACGTTGAATGAGGACAGTGAGGACTAAGTGTGACAGGTAGCAAACGCTTTACCCCGAGACCGGTTTAACCCTTACAGAACTAAGTGTGCAAAAATAACGCCCGTATGCACCGTGCACGTTTAATCTAGATCAACGGTTTGATCGCGTTTAGTAACATGGCTTAAAATGGTACTAAACGCGATTAAACTCTTGATCTGGACTAAACATGTACGGTGCATACGGGCGTTAGTTAAACACAATATATTTTATTGTTTCCTATTATTAGAAGTCATAAAAAGTCACTAATTTTTTTTCAGATTTTTCCAACCAATATTTTTACAAAAAAAAAACAGGCTAGTGAGTATGTCACAATGGTGTATTGCAGGACTGTACTAATTAAATAATAGTATTTAATAAAAAAGTTTTTATTAAAGTAAACAAAGGTATCCAATGTAAAATGTATGAAAACATAATTTAAAATGTAATAATAGTCCTATTGAGGCCTATGAAAATTGACAAAACAATTTTTATCCTTTGCTAAACATACGTAAACATTGCACTTGCTACAACGTATTCTTGTTCTACATGTACAAGATTGTAGTCTGCAATGAAGGGGATGTTTTGTCATCATTTACTGACTAGTGTTCATATCCATCATAACGTTTGTCAGTACCAGGAAGGGTAGCTGGAATTATTTTTTTCTTCTTATGCTTATCGTCTCCTGTTTCATTATTTTATAAATCAGTTATTTCCTCAAACTGATTCCTCCTCTTTCTTGTGACCCCAACTCGCCAACTGCTATACGAAATGACAAAAAATCCATGATATCCTTTCTTTGAAAATTGTTTGATTTGCAGTCTTCAACATACTCCATCCAACTATTTACTAAAGAGAGATCAAACAAATGTAATATGACTTTAAACGGCCATTTTCGCGTCTTGAAGAAAGTTCTGTAACACTCTATCATTTGATCATAGACATCCACTCCTCCCATTTTTTTATTGTAGGTATAAATGACGTTAGGGCAGCTGACTTCAACAAACTCTTTTTCAATTTTGTTTCAGCGTTTCACAGTGGTTTGTGGTGTAGTTCCAAAAGAAGTAAACAACATAAGAACTGCCTTTTTCTCCATCCACTTTGTCAGTACCATGGGATTATTATCACTTCTAATAACTGACTGCGAATCACCTCTTGCCATTCTTTTATCGGGAATGAAATCGTAACTCACTTGAAGCCTGTTTTTCAATATAGTGCCAGTACCGTGGATTTCTATGATTTAGCTGCTCCATTAGCCCCACTGAGTTAAAGTACCTATCGAAAAATAGATGATTTTTCTTTGGTAACTTGTGAGCAAAATGTAGAATTACAGCCGGTCCAAGTCCATGGGCTCTGTGTTGAAATGGAGTTGTATTCCCCTGGTAGATTTCAAAATCTAATACAACTCCTTTAGAAGTCGTCAAAACAAAATTTTTAAGACCAACAGGTCTCGGCTTATTCTTCACATATTGTTTTAACGCACAACGACCTAAAAAAGAAATCATTTGCTCATCAATTGAATAAGTTCCGTTTTGAGATCTTTTGAGTTGCTGACATCTATTTCTGACATAAATTATCATAGGCTGTATTTTCCAAAGCAGATTACTTTTTTTGTCCTCTTCTGAAACCCTGTCTTCATCTTCTATATGAAAGTTAGAACGAAGCAAGAAAAACCGATCTCTAGGTAATGTATCGGCAATGAGAGGCAATCTGAAGTTGGCTGTCCAATACATCCTAAGTCTTGGATATTTTACACAGCCCAAAATAGATTGATTACCGAAAAACTTCTTTACTTCGTCAGGCAACAAAGAAGGTTGTAAAGGTTTTCCATTTTTGTTAAAATGGTATTAAATAGTGCGTAAAGAACCCAGTTCGTAAAATTCGTCACCCAAGTACTGCTGAAAATATTGTGCAGGTGACAAAACTTCTTGTGGCTCATTTAAAGTTACTTCAGGAGGGTCTCTTATTTCAAATAATTCTTCTATCCAAGTCCAATTAGCCTTTGCCTTTTTACCTTTTTTTATGTGGCAGTATCAGCAAGAGAAGGCGTTTCGTCAACACTGCTGTCTTCTGATTTAGAATTTTGAAATTCATCTGTAGAATTTCTTCTTCACCTTCTTTCCCTTCAAACTCCAAACTCAATATCGTCCAATATTTCATATAAAGCATCCAGATTAACATGAAGCTACTCTAGATTAGTCTGCGATTTGAACCTATAAGAAAAGAAAATTATGTTCATCACTCATATTTGTAACTTTTACTATAGTTAGACCTGAAGTACACAATTGTGATATCAAGGTGTTTCAATAAATTTAGTACAAACTTCAAACATATTATATGAAAACATTGATGATACAAATAAATACAATCATTTAACAGTAATATACCATAAAGAAATATTTAAAAATACGGTGATAATACTTAAAAAACTATACTTACGTCGCGAAGCCATTTTCGATTATACACAGCTATTATCGATACACTTTCAACCCAAAAGCTAACTGACGATTGCGGCGGTAAACATGCACTTAAGTACACCTTTCACAAGTGAACGACGCCGGTCTCAATAGCTTCTAAACCTATTCTGAACCTTATGTACCGAAATCATAAGTAAGTCCCAATTGTAGCTAGACGGTCTGTAAAGGTTAATGTGTCGTCGAGTTCTGTCTCTCGGACGTGTCACGTTTTGCGAAATTGTGTTTTATATAATTATTGCATGTGTTCAGACGTAAAGAGACCGTTCTCGGTTGCCTTTTCCGTCGCCTCTGTTGTCGTCTGTCGTTTAGCTTCGCTTGACATAGCGATAAATTTTCAATACGACGCGGTGAAAACTGACATACAACTCTGTATGCGTAGAGATAAAAGTAAATCTACATACATCACCACGCGTACATCAACGTGCGTTTATGTCTTAATACATGCACGAGACTCTGTAGGCCCTTTTAAAGCATAACGTTAGTACATCGGTCTAATAAAATAAAATTATTTGTTTTATTTTGGTGTGATTCGAACAGAAAGTCTTTTGGCAGTTTCGACTTTCTGTCCCAACTGCTCTTAATTAATACACAGATACCTATTATCTTAAATACTGTCGCTAAATAAAGTGCTGTTAATTCTACATGATAACCATTTTACTTTATCTAGCAATAACTTGATTGTACTTTGAAGTATATTTATTAGATGTAAAAAATTAAATTTTGTTTATTATTAGATACAGTACGTCCCATTTGCTTACCAAAGCCAGGCGAAGAACCACTTGCCGTTGGGCAGCTTTTAATAGAAAGCGGTTGGTTTAGGAATAGCAAAGTTCAGTTAAAAACCGAAAATCTACTTGCATCATTTGAAAATTGCTCGAAGGTTTACAAAGCTAACGGAGTTACTTTGACCAACACGCACATTTGCGCTGGAGGATTAAGCAATGGAACATGTGCAGGTAAGATAATTTAATGTGTCTTGTAAGTATATTTATAGTATGAGAGCCAACTGCAAATTTCGACCGTCCTCTGATAACGAAATGAAATATGCTCCAAAGGCATGTAACAACATTGTACTTTACCAAATTCAAAAAATCACATAAGACACTTGAATTATTAATATTTTTACCTATCTTTTAAACCTTTTTATGTGTGAAAGGAAGAAGGATGGCATTGTATAGACCATTTGCAGAGATAGTCAATAATAATTATAAACTCTTGTTAGACAATACTTTTAAACCATAATCATAGTAGTTTTTTTGTCGTTTTTATGGCAACCTATAAAAATGAATCACAACAATAGGCATGAAAATAAATTTTTAAATCATCAAATATTGATTCATATTTTTAATGATTTTCACCTACTAATCGTGGATAGATATTTTTGTGCGAAGAGGAAGAAAATGTTCCCCTTTAACGATACATATCAAGATATATTTGAATGTTACAATATTTTTCCATGCTTTTGGGGTATATTTCATTTCGTTATCAGATGACGGTAAAAATTTGCAGTGGGCTCTTGGGCTATTACTCTTATTTTGAGTGATAAATTTTAACATCCTCCAAAAACGGAAAAGTTCTCAATTCGTCGTAATATTTTTTTATGTGTGTTCAGCGATAATCCTTTACCACGTTGTCTAATTTTTGAGATTTGTTATTAGAGAGGGGGTACTTTAGAGATGGTCCTATATACATTTGGTCAAGATCTGACAATGGGATCCATGAGGAAAGCATCACCCTCTTCATTTTTTATTGATAATCAGCGACAATTCCTTGCAACGTTGTCCGATTTGTATGATTCTTATTTTGTTAAAAAAGTGGTAACTCAGTGGTAGTCCCATATACAATTGGTTAATATCTGATGATGGAATCAATAAGAAAATCAGCAAACTTAATTTGCGATGGTATCTTCACGATTCACTTTTGTTACATGTTATTTATATAATGTAGGCCATTTAATTTAAAATACTTTTTTAGTTAATTTTCTTTGTTTAAAATAGCCAATAATATTAATAACGATTTAAAAAATAATCAGGTAGATATTAGTGTGCAATAATTCTGCATCAATAGCAATTTGCTTCTGATGAAAACTCTAAACTAACTTATGTAGTGCCGAAAAATGTATGCATAATAAAAAACTATATAGAGTTATTATAAATAAAAAAAATGTCTTTAAGGATATAGGGGTCTATTCTTTAACAATTCCTTTATATTTAATGGCCTTTAAAAATATTGGCGGCCTTTAAAAATATGTTCGTATTCGTTAATTTACTTCTGTCATTATTTAAACAGATTTCTTTAAGATAGTCCTGCAATGTATTTTAAAGATCCGTTTAAATAATGACAGAAGTAAAGAAGAACATATTTTTAAAGGCCGTTAAATATAAAGGAATTGTTACAGAATATCCCTTTAAATATACAAGGTGGGCTATCTGTAACGACTTGGTCTGTGGAGCGAAAACTATGTGATGTTTTTTAAATCTTTTTTCACAGCAAGATTGTATATTAGAACAGGGAACCTTTTAAAAATAATTTTAATTACACAGGGTTCTCCAAGAAGGTGATACATAACAAATTTAGTTTTCTTTTAAAATTTAAACTGCCCTCGCTTTTACCATTATACCAATATCAAACAGTATGGATTTATACAGGATATTTCATACGCTATTGCCAGTTCTATATGAAAACTGTATTCATTTCGATGACCTGTGCAGTGCAAAAGAAACCATTAAAAACCATTTTTTTTTTTGTTTAAGGTTTTTAATATTAGTCAATTTATGCCGATGCACTAGTTTTTTCAATAAGTTACAAATCAGTTCATGGTGGGTCAAAATTCAAATACATAAGTGTCATGATTTTTACTAGTGTTGATATTCGATCTGAATAGACAATGCTTATCGACAATCCGTAAGAGTTTTTAAGCAAAATATGTCAAAGAATCGATATATTTTAAATAAAACTAGAATAGGGGGTGGGTGGCTCAGTGGTAGAGTCTCTGCCTGTGGATCCAAGGGTCCCAGGTTCGAATTCCACCGTTGGCCGAAATTTTTTTATTTAATTTAATTATTTAAAATTAATTCTGATGCCTTGGTAGGATTCCCCACTCGACCATTCACTGTTGGGTTCTAATTAACAGTGCTGTTCCTATAGTGGCGCTGGGAAACAGTAACAAAGCCTACACAGAACACGAGGCTAATGACCTTAGCAGTCGATGCCGATGACATTAAATTAAAAAAAAACAACTAGAATGAAGATATATAATGCTGGGCATTATATATGATACTCTTCACAGTTAAATAATCCCTCTTTAAACCCCCCATTTTTAAACAATTTTTTTTTCAGAATCAATAGGCTTCATCCCCCCTATCACAGCTTTATTTTTCCGGAAGAATTTTCAAGATGATATCATTTTAGTTTCCCTCAATAAGAGGAAAGTATTGTAATCGTGAAAAGATTATTTAAAATTTTTACGTTTTAGGGTCCCTTGATTACGAAAAACATTCCCATTCCGTTGGTTTGTCTGTCGGCGTCTATCGTCGTCGTCGTCATCGTCGTCATCGTCATCTGTCGTATGTCTGTTGGCGATTTTAATTTATAATTGTTTTGTTAAATTTTAATCCCTTTCTAACCCCCATTTTGATAACAAAAACTTAAAAATCAATTTACTTCGACCCATTGATTTTCCTGATAATTTCAACTTGATATTCTTTTCGTTTTTGCTTTATTATTTTTGTTTTTTAATTTTTGTTTGTCCTTCCCATCCTGAACCACTCCATTTTTAATCAGGTTTGTTCTAAATCAATAGGTTTTGTACCCTTCTAGAGATTGGTCATTTTTCTTTTTTGACTTATCTCGCGGACAAAATCGTAACATCAGACGAACGGGCAGACAGACGGCCAAACGAACGGATGGAATTTTAAATTTGGGTGATTATTAAATATGTAGTTTCTTGAAAGTAAACCTGTAATATTCTTTACAGACTACTGTGTAAAGAGTAAACTAATAGACTTTGTGAAATTTTGTGTAGCATTTGAGCTGGCTTTACGAGGACATAAAACATAATCGTCTCAAAATCCGGGAAGTTCAAGGAGTATTCAAATAATACTTCTTAAATTTTAAACTCCGGCAATATACTCTCGAATAACATATATTTTTAATTGAGTTAAAGTAAATATAAATAAATATTAAACTTACTTTTGGTATCAACACCGCCAGTGGGAATTTCGATGATCGTATAAGATTTTCATTCTGCAATAAAAGAAAGAGTTACAATAACAACTTGTATAGGTACAATGGGCGAATCATGTTTGACTAAAATACGTATTTAATTTAGATTTATCTGGAGGTTCTTTAATTAGAAGAGGAGTTCAAGAAAAGGCATATTTAGAAGGTGTCATATCATTCAGACCAAAACAATGCGGATTATCAGGATGGCCAACTATTTATACCAACGTAAGGTCTTATTTGGAATGGATCTACAGTAGCATTAAACCAAGCATTTAGTATTGTAACTCATAATGTAGAAAACGTTGCGATTTAATTATTTTTTCTTTATTTTTGTATTACAACTCTACTTTTGTAAAATAAAGCGCCAACTGTAAATATTGTGGTTTCTCTATAATATCTATTAATATATATTAATAATATATAATAATATCTATTAATTTACTTATTTTATGGTGTAGACTCTTGGTCGTACAGCCAGTCACAAAATAGAATAGATAAATTTAAAAAATCCATCACTAAAAAAATAATGAATGAAAAAGAGGAATATTTAATTTCAAATAACAAGAGGATTAATCAGGGACACTTGTTTCTCGCATAAACTAGGCCACGGTAAGGGTGTAAAACCAAACAATAAAAAAGAAAACAAATGTAAAAAGTCTTCGCATTCAAATACGAAGGTCCAAAGAGCTTGCGAAGGTCTAACTGAATGCACATTTTAATATAGCAAAGTGTTTTTGTTTTGTTTTATAAATTGATCGTTACCTATAGGAATAATGGCAAATATAATTTTGTTAAATATCTTATTACGAATTAGAAGAGGCCAGTAATCATCCTCGAAGAGTTTATGATGATAGAAAAGATCCTTTCAGACTTTCTGATCAAGCGTTCATCATCAGATTGTTTCGGTTAATTATATGTGTCTTTTTACTAATATTTTCCATTTTATAACGCTGCAAGCTATGTATAGCCAAACAGTACATCAAAAAACAACCCAAACTACGACTTCATGCTCAAAACCATTACTCATATTAATATAGCTTCTTTTTTACGAATAATTGTCACAAAACAAGCGGTGTGAACGTTGACTCCCCTTTCTAGCAGACATTTTAACATTAATAATCGTCGATCATACATGGTTGCCAAGCTGCTATTCGCATTTATAAATAAGGATTACGAAGGCACAGATACGAAGGGTTAAGAATACGGTTTCTAATGCGTTTCGCATTGAACCACTCGCATCTCTTCAAAGCGAGCGCTTAAACGCACTAGTCGAGGATAGGTGCCTTGGTCTGTGGAGCCAAAACTATTGATGTTTTTTAAATCTTTTTTCACAGCAAGATTTATTATGAACAGGGAATATTTTAAAATTAATTTTAATTACACAGGGTTCTGCAAAAAAGTGATACATTCCATTATAGCAATACCAAACAGTATGAAATTATACAGGGTATTTCACACGCTACTGCCAGTTTTATATGACAATTGTTTTAATTTCGATAACCTGTATAGTGCAAAAAAAACAATTGAAAACCATTATTTTTGATATTATTTAACATTTATGCCGATGTATTCCTTTTTTTAATTAGTAACAAATATGTATAGAGTGAGTTAAAACTCTAATACATAATTTTCTCATATTTTTTTTTTAAATCACCATTTAAGAGTAACTTAGTTAAAGTTTCATTTCAGTTTAAAATTCCCTATACCTAAAGTGCCATGATTTTTACTACAATCAATAGTGTTGATATTCGATCTGAAATATCCGTAAGAGTTTTTAACAAAAATAGCTAAACAAACACCATTATTCAATTATATGATACTATTCACAGCTAAACAAACACCATTATTCAATTTTTTTTTTTTTTTTTTTTTAGAATCAATAGGCTTCATCCCGCCTATAAAAGCGAAAGAATTCAAGTTGATATCATCTTAACTTCCCTCAATAAGAGGAAAATATTGTAATCGTAAAAGGATTATTTAAAATTTTCACGTTTTAGGGTTCCTAGATTACGAAAAACATGTTTCCCCATTCCATAAATCTGTCTGTCGGTGTCTATCGTCGTCGTCGTTATCGTTATCTCGTCTGTCTCTTGGTGTTTTTAATTTATGATTTATTTGTTAAATTTTAACCCCTCTTCAACCCCCATTTTTGATAAAAAAAAATTAAATATCAATCGACTTTAACCCATAGTAGAGCTTCATTTTTTCCTGATAATTTTAACTTGATATTGTTTTTCGTTTTTGTTTTATGATTTTTTTTTCTGTTTTAACCTTCCCATTTTTAACCTTTTAATTTTTAATGAGATTTGGTCAAAATCAATGGGCTTTGTACCCTTATAGAGATTGATTTTTACTGAACATTTTAAGTTCATATAATTTTTCTTTTTTGAAAAGGACGGCCGAACGGACGAATGAACATTTTAAAAGTTTTATGAGAAGGATTTTGGTACGAAAATTTTTAAATTTGGATGAATATTAAAAATTTGGTTTTTTGAAAGAAAACCTATAATATTCATCACAGACTACTGTGTAAAGAGTAAACTAATAGACTTTGTGAGGTTTTGTGGGGCATTTGAGCTGGCTTTACGAGGCCATAAAACATAATCGTCTCAAAATCCGGGAAGTTTAAGGAGTATTCAATTAATATTCCTTAAATTTTAAACCAAGGCCAATAGACTCTCGAATAACATATATTTTTAATTGAGTTAAAGTAAATATAAATAAATATTAAACTTACTTTTGGTATCAACACCGCCAGTGGGAATTTCGATGATCGTATAATATTTTCATTCTGCAATAAAAGAAAGAGTTACTATAACTATAAGTACAATGGGCGAATCATGTTTGACTAAAATACGTATTTAATTTAGGTTTATCTGGAGGTTCTTTAATTAGAAGAGGAGTTCAAGAAAAGGCATATTTAGAAGGTGTCATATCATTCGGACCAAAACAATGCGGATTATCAGGATGGCCAACTGTTTATACCAACGTAAGGTCTTATTTGGAATGGATCCACAGTAGCATTAAACCAAGCATTTAGTATTGTATCTGATAATGTAAAAAACGTTGCGATTTAATTTTGTTTTATTATTTTCTTATTATTTTTGTATTACAACTGTACTTTTGTAAAATAAAGAGCCAACTGTAAATATTGTGGTTTCACTATAACTACTAATTTACTTTTCCTACGACCACTTACGAAAGTGATACCTATCGCACTGTTTAGTCTTATGGGAAGTGTCTGATATCACACGAGTGTGGATAAATTTACTTTCCACACGTGTGTGAATATAAATCTACTTTCCGCATAAGCTCTATAAGTCAGACGTCTAATTTATATTTTGATTGATGTAATGTTCATTTTAATAGTAAAGTCGATTTAAGGTGAGATTACAGAACGTCTGCAACTTTGCAGATCTGCAAATATGGCGGCAACTTTGAAAATCTGCAAATATGACTGACTTACACATGCAAGTATCAAGTTTTCGTATTCCAAATTTGGGTTTAGTGTTGTTGGGGGTAACAAACCACAATAAATATTGCGAATTTGCAGATATTTTTTGGAATACTTGTATTTGTAAGTCCGCCATATTTGCAGATCTGCAAAGTTGCAGACGTTCTGTAATCTCACCCTTGATGATTATATTGTTAACATTAATTTTTAAAAATAGATCCTAGATATTTCTTTTTACAATATTATTAAAATAATTTTAAAATAACTACGTACATTATTTTTGTTTTTTCTAGTTCACATACATATTTAATTAGATAAGCCAAATCACACAGCCATGATAGCGTAAATGGTTTACCGTCTGGCTTTTTCAAATTATCATATCATAACCCCTACAATATTTTGTACTATTTTATTTACTGTTTAGAAAAAAAATTGTGAGTAAAGAAGTGAGTAACCATTAATAATAAAAAAGTTTTTGTTCACGATTGTTCAACTTATTTGTTTAAAACAATTGTAACTAATGTTATTTTATCTTTATGATCCTATGAAATTGTAAATGGAATCACAATATTTTTATCTGTAATGTAAAATTCTTGAAAAATTATTCAATAAGACATATAAAAAACAAATCTAAAACCAGCTAACCTTTATAGCCAGATTTTCTAGTTTTGCATTTATTTGATAAAATTATTTTGTGATCGTAGAAAAAATATTGTACACCACTTCTGTGAAAGTAATTTTTCACACTCGCGTGATTGTCGCACTCGGCTTATGCCTCGTGCGACAATAGTTCCCGCGCGTGTGAAAAATGCCACTTTCCACACTCGTAATGCAATATACTATTTTTTATGGTATAGACTCTTCGTCATACAGACAGTCACAAAATAGAATAGTTGAATTAACAAAATCCACACAACTAATCAATGAAAAAGGGAAATGTTTAATTTCAATCGACAAGGGGATTAAACGGGGACACTCGTTTCTCGCATACACTAGAACACGGTAAGGGTGTAAAATCAAACAATAAGAAAGAAAACAAAGGTAACGAGTCTAAAAGAAGTAATCATTACATACCTGATTCCATTAAAAATTTAATCAAGCAGTCATATATGTTTGTAGAATTTATATGTAGAATAAAAAAAAGGTTGTCATTGAGAAAGAATAGTTTTCTTTAAAAAAACCAATAAAACCGTAGTCGAAGATCCAAAACGGCCTCTTTGGTCAAGAACAAAGCTGTGTAGTTATGTTTCGGGGGTAGAATGATGGGATACTTTGCATCTTCCGACAAATCAATGGAAAGAATAGTCCTACCTTTTACTCTGAGAATTCGGTCTTTGTCTAAAATTGGGGATAAGATGAATAATTTACTTGATTTTTCTAATGATTTGTTACTTTCTAGTCGTTTAATGTCTTCTAAAAATGTTTCTTTTTGTGTCTGCTTTATCCAACGCTTTTCGGCTTCATGCAATTCCTCAGGTATAAGTTCTCCACTCAGGCGGTTTTTCTTTAGCGCATTGTTGATCAATCTTAGGCACCATGCTGTCGAACGTATTAATTTCAACCAAGATGAAAATCTTGCAACTTCTGGTAGTGAGCTGCAGTTCTTTATTGCCAGCCCAACAAATTTCTTTCTGACTTCCGAAGTGTCGCTACAAGAAAATATATTTTACCTGTGTTACCCTGTATTCTACAAGGTATAATGCTTTAGATAGTAGTGTCAGTATGTTTTTGACAAGAGAATAAAAAAAAGGTTGTCATTGAGAAAGAATAGTTTTCTTTAAAAAAACCAATAAAACCGTAGTCGAAGATCCAAAACGGCCTCTTTGGTCCAGAACAATATTAAAGTTATGGAGGACCGCTAATAGGGAAGATGGGACATGCACATGATGGCAGATTACTGCTGGAGTTTAAAAAGGGACTGTTTAAAAAAACATTCAAGAATGTCGCGGAAAAGAAGCTTTCGAAGTGTTGAGTGACTATTTGATTTCTTCAATGTTTTTTTTTTGTTTGCAAGTACGACATTATATTGTATTTTGTATAACTAAAATAAAAATTTCGTATCTTTTTTTGTGTACTACACTTACGGATTTGAGTTAAAATAATGTAACTTATATTTATCTAAAATTGTATATCTTAAAAATCTGAGCTCCTAGGTAAAAATTATTGCGTTATTTGAATTCAGTATATAAAATTGATATAGAATCAGCTCAAAAAACCTCGACACCAAAACACCTTTTCCCCTGTGTATTAATAAAGAATAGGTACAGCTAAAATCAGTTTTTTATTACTTAAGGGTTCCGTCAAATATTTCGCTTTCCAAAAGGGTTCCATCGCCAAAAAAGTTTGAAATACCAAGTATGATATAACATTGAAAACGTAATTTTACTCAGATAAACAAATGAATAATAGATGCCTAACGATCTGGATTTGGTTGAACCGTTTTATCTATTACTTTTTTTTCCATGGTCTTCGATGTGATTCGTCTATTTTAAATAGCAGCGCGAAAATTTTCTCATAATATAACTTAAATGGAATGACAAAAAAACTTTGGCATGATAATTTATTTATCTATTTATAAAAATGTTTACAACGAAAAAAAAACTAAAGAAAATACATGAATCTTTAAATTAATACATTTAAAGTAATCAATGACTGTCACTTGACAGTGATTGAAATTTTGTATGCCAGCTTTTCTTATGCCGTGATAGTCGGTGTACAAAATCACCATGATCTAAATCACGATGTCAGAACGAAAATGACTGCTTGCAGAAATTGCGAACGGCCTATGAATCTTTGCAAGCAGTTTTTGAGTTTTATTGTTTTATGTTCTGAAGTTGTTGCAGATATTTAAATATTTTTACGTACGATCAAGGTCTGTAGTACAATCTCACTGATGCAATCGTACATCGTACAGAGAGTTAAAAAATCGTATAAATACAATTTAAATCGTACGGTTGGCAACACTAAGACAGACAGTAGAAGTGGACAGCAGTGGACAGTTTGTAAATATAAATGTCAGTTAGTATTATGTATGTCGAAGAATCCTGAATTTAAATTTTAAATTTTGAGTTCATGATTGTATTATCCTCTAGATGAACTAAGCGAAATAGTTGTGGCTGTTTTTGTGTGAAATTTGAGGACAATAATTATATTTTGTAATATTACAATAAGTCGGGGAACGTATTGCATTAGTAACACATGTCACATGAACAAATTTAACAACCCCAATGTGGCGTTCTTTAATTAACCAAAGTACGTAAGATCTATTTATGTAAGTAACACAAAAAGTAATTAACTTTTGTCACAAAGTAGGTATGTATGTATTATTTATTGTTTTAGAACCAGAAAATGGCTTCAAAACGTTAGAAAGAAGATTTGATATAGGACGAAAGATATCTGAATTCCCATTATTTAATTTTGCACTCAACATTTTTAAATCAGTGGCCATTCGTTTGGAAAATAATAAGAAAAATGCAGTGTTACAAATAACAATCAAAAATTAAAAAAATATTTTTCATGAATATAGATTTACAATAATTAATCGATAATAGACTGTAAGTGTAGTATTCTTTTTAATAAATAATTTAGCGTAATTACATTGTTTAAGATTATTTAAAAGAACATGAGAGTGCACTCGATATTTATATAACCTTTATTTTCAGGTTTTTAAATTTTCCGCTGTGTTGTTTGATATCGATGAAAGCGCCACATAGTGGGTCAGATGTTAACTACGATAAAGCTGGTCGTTGTTAAGCATTGGCTTCTTATGGGCGTTTCCTATCTTTATCTCCCTTATCTCTGATATATGTATTATTGACCCTGTCAATGACAACAGGCTCACAGGTTTGCCCTTTGAATAAGGGTATGGAGGGTAGAGGAAAGGAGAACAATCTCTGTATACAAAAAGTGTCCCTCAAAATGTATACAATTAAGATGGCGCTTCTGTGCCCAGGGGACGTCGACAGTCGATAATTCAGATCACACAATGACACCAATGATGTATATAGTAATAAATATTGCTCAACCATAAAAAACTAAAAACTACACCTTGAAAAGTGACTGATCGTAGAAGAGTAAGTGTTCTGTGATCGTAGATAAATTTTGACAATACACGACAATAGTCAAATTTTATTGAAAAATAATAATATAAACAATAAATAATTCTTATATTAAAATGGCACGGAGGTCTCAATTTACTGCTTCCTGTCTGATTTAATTATGAATGAGCAATCTATATGACTATATAGCATTGGATTTTGTCCCCTGGCTACACGAGCGCCATCTTAATTGTATACATTTTGGTGGCCACTTTTTAATATAAAGATCCATATAAGATTGTCCTCCTTTTCTCTACCCTCCATAAATAAGGGTTTGCCATATCTAAATGTCAGTTCCCACTTGTCAGCAGTTTGACAGGTCGTTGGAATGCCTAATTCGTTACTTTTCTTTTGATTTTAGCGCCCTCTGGCGAGTTAAAAAACTTGTATGTCTTTTAAATTGTGACATTTCACCCTCTATAATGAATACCATCACTTAGTAACCAATAAAAAATTAACAAATACGTTTAGTCTTTCAGTAGATTATAT